AATAATGTGAACATTTAAAACAGAGAATTATTGTCGATTTATTGCATATAACATATGATTAAATAATCAAATATTATATGCGATAAATCAAATGTTATATGCAATAAATCGAATGTTATATGTGATAAATCGAATGTTATATGTGATAAATCGAATGTTATATGTGATAAATCAAATGTTATAATATGTGATAAATCGAATGTTATATGTGATAAATCGAATGTTATATGTGATAAATCAACCATAAAACAATCGAATTATGAAACAAAAAACATGCCATACACATGTACACTGGTCACAATACAAATAAATACGAAACATCTTTTTCATTTCACGTAAGAAATATTAATATCGCAGTATGAAATTGTCTGCATTCCACAGTTTCGCGACGAATATTTAGTTTGATGAATGAAAACCTTTTTCTAAAAGCAAATATCGCACCGATGACAAAACATCTTGGAATAAAGGGTTAAAAGAATAGAAGAGGTAGAAGGGGAGAGAGAGACAACACGGGGCGGGAAGTATCGACAGAGTATGATGCACGTGTGTATTGGAGTGGGGCAGCGTGAATGGGGGAAGAAAGAGAAGGTAGAATACTGAAGAAATGTTGGAAAACTCAATTAGGTACATTTATTCGTACCGAAACATTTAAATTAGAATTATGATGGTAAAATTCCACAACTATATGGAAACCGCACCACTTTTTTTTTGAAAATTATGGTTAATCCTAAAATGTATCTACTCAATTACAGTGACAATTGAATTAATAAAAAATCGCTTTATGCTTTAAAAAACTAAACGTGTAAGTGAAAGTGATACTATTGAAAATAGCTAATTTTCAAAATTTCAAACCACCACTTAAAGCTTGTGCCAACCTGCATAACCTCGGTATAGAAAATTTAAGAAAACTACTTCGACAATTCCGTCTAGTATATTGATATGAAGAAAACTACATCTATTTAATGCTAAGCTTATTAGTTATTATCAAAAGGCCATCATGTGGTACACGTCAATAAAATAACAAGGCGTGTATCGATAAGCTTGGGAAAATACAATTTTTGTGTTGGAACACAATATTTCAGACAATTTTCACACTTGAAATTCTATATTTTACGCACGAATTAAGAGCGATTTGTAATGTTACCACAGATTCGGGGCCGAAATTCTTTATACTTTCCCACGCCATCACTCTGTTCATTGTGCGCCATGTACGCAACATGCCTTACACTGACACACCATCACCAATAACTTATTTCCATTGTGTACACATCATTGATTAACAGGAGGTGCATAAAGCAGTAAATCTGCTACATTTTCCACATTTACACTAGATAACCTTGAAGACTTAAAGTAGCACGTGCACTGCACCTAATGAATTTATACATGCAAAAACTGCTACATGCAGGACGGGAATTGGGGAAAAAAGATACAATTACCGTTTCCATAATCCCTTATAGTACGTTCACATCCATAATCTGACAAAATTGGTATTACATAATTATTATATAGTAATAAAGCATAACGCGAATCCATAATTCATGAAACTCAATTTCAATTTCATTTTCTTTCAATAGGACCAGGTCCATACCGATTTGCTATGTACCTATGTTTTTGTAGCAATGATACAATGAAAGTATCTATCACCAGGGTGTTTGTGGTTCATGTGTCAAGTTTCAGGACCAACACTTAAGCACTCTTGTTAAATATGGCTACCCATGCTAGCTTATAAGGTTGTATACTATTACTGTATTAATATTATAACAACCCTTTCTCTTTTTTTTATAAAAGAGTACTGTCTGCCACGGAAGGACCACTAGTATTTAAAACGATTTTTAATAACTCGCAACTTTTGTTAATAACATGCCATTTCCAAAATATAAATCAACAGCCAATCCAAAAGCTCGCCAGCTTGAGTAATAAAATCAGCTCGCCAATTTTGTAATACCGTTTAACCGTTTTTTGTAACAGAATGTGTTTTCTCAGAAAAGCTGGTGATTTACAAAAGTGGCGATTTCTTATAAAAGCTGTTGATTTATTATTACAAAACTCGTGAGTTGTTGAAGTGAAAGTACTGTCGAAAATGCTGACTGAAAAGCTGTTATGAAAGTGATTCTTACAACATGTCATTTATACAGGATTTACGAATTGAGAAGATACGCAGCACCGTTGATTCCCACCTGAGGGTAGCAGTTCATAAAACACAAGCCTAGAACAAGGCCTAGTGATATAGGTTTATCAAGCCTGCATCACCTTGCACCCTGCACGTCTAGGAATCATATAGAGAATGTTTGATCACAGGGCAGTTTCACTCGGAAGCACACTTCCCTCTATACATTTCCTCGCATTTCGTAGCAGATACATCTACCGGTCTTTTGACTATTATCTAATATCGAGCCACGTACAAATTGCATTTCGCGTAAATATGAATCCCAATAATAATTCAATAACCTGGGCAATACCTGCCTTTATGGCCAATTAAACAATGAATCAGCCCGAGAATTGCAGTGCAGTTACCAAGTCTATGGGAGCCACGTTACAGCTTTATCTTTTGCTAGCAGTCGTACAGAATCTGTTATAACCAAACTATAACCACCTGATTAATTACTGCAGATTTGCTAGGTTACTACTGTATTGCACATTCCTGTACAGCAATCGCTATTACTAGGACGTTGTTACGACGCTTAATACATCACTTTATGCTTAGTGCAAACTTATAGGAAAAGGACTCATTGTAAGTATTTATCACATCATTTTCATCGAATCATAATCGATTCCCTAATTAGACATTAAGATCATCTGCCTGCTTAAGAGCATGTGTCCAACTTATATTATATACTTGTATAACAATTTTCACAGTGCAAACCTAATCGCCCATATGATGGATCGGACGGTTCACTCTGTGATGAAGTTTGTAACGAAGGTAGCTTTGCAGTTGTCCAGCATCCGCGGAGGTAGAGTAGGCTCCACACCAGGGGGCGCTCGCAGCAGGATGCTGCCAAACATCAGTGCCAGGCTCTCCATAACATCCGACTTGTTCCTATTGAAACAGTGCAGATTATAAGTAGAAGAAGCAAAATATTAAAGCCCACTTACCAATGTATCCTTTTGACACAGTGGAGGTTATTATTAAGAGATAGTAGACTTTGAAACCCATTTACCAGTGTTTCACTTTAATACATTGCAGATTTTCAAAGGAGATACTAGACAAGGAACCATAATAATATTTCAGAGTTTGCACATAACTTGGACCCAGCTGTTCAATGCATGTGACCTAGCAAGGAGATTTGTGACAGACTGGTTAAAATGGATGAACCTCGCAACAAACAGCCTACATACACCTACTGTGAGCATACTTGCAGTATGCAAATATCACGAAATGTAATCATTGAGCCAGAAAGAAGTAATGTATATAACATACGATTTTTAAATTTCACACTTTTGTACTGAACAAACATCAAATAAGTTGTTATTAAACCTTCATCAAAGACTGTTAATGAAGACTGGTATCGCTCGGCTATGTCCCGGATGTGTAAACACTGTGTAAACATTCGAAAGTACTAGTTTCGTAAGACTGTTTAGGTTTGCTGAAGAAATGTTATGAAAGTAGTAATACAAATGAGTTGTAGTGAATTTTTGCAACATAGAACGAGCTCACAGTATGTATATCTATGAATTTTGCTGCGAGAACATGCCGTTTTAAAGCGTTTTATGGTTTTTCAGTGTGATGAAGCTACACGTGTAGCTGCAAGCTCCTCATTAGTAGTCTGACTCCTCTGAGGGATTTTGAAAGCCCGGAGAAAACAAACAGCTCATTGGATACTGTTTCTATGACAGTCAAGCTAGACCTATTAATACGTTTTTTCTTTACGTGTGCAGCCAAAGTGAGACACTTCGTTGCTGAGCATTGCCTTTTAGATGGCCTTATCAGGACACTGCTTGGAATGGAGCTGGCTGTCAATCACGCCAGACAGACAGGTCGACTCCGCGACTCGCCCACGCAAACCCTGCAGAGAACAACGCCGCGCACGACGTACCTGTCGACAAAGTAGAGCACGGTTCTGAGGAAGGCCATCAGGTAGCGGAACACGTTGCTGTGGCACGGCGGGAAGGCGGCGACGAGCTGCTCGCACGCGGTGACGTCGCGCGACCGGTCGATGCACTGCTGGTAGTGGCTGTACGGCACGACGGGGTCCGGCAGCGCCTCGAGAAACATGAGCAGTGCCTCTGCAAGAACACGACAGCAACGTCAGCAAGACCAGCGCAACCTGTACACGGCGCGGTTTTAACGGCTTCGGCTATCTACGTGCGTGTTCATTACATCATTATCAGAGGGTGTTTGATCTTGCAGAATCATTGATAATGATGGAAGATGATTATCAGAGGGTGATTGATCTTGCATAATTATTGATAATGATGGAAGATGATTATCAGACTGTGTTTCATCTTGCAGAATCATTGATAATGATGGAAGATTATTATCAAACGGTGTTTGATCTTGCAGAATCATTGATAATGATGGAAGATTATTATCAGATGGTGTTTGACCACGCAGAATTATTGGTAATGATGGAAGATGATTACCAGAGGGTGATTGATCTTTGGCATACTTATGATACATGAGGAAGATTGATTATCAGATGGTGTTGGATCTTGATAATATTTTTTATAATGATGGAAGATATTATCCAGGGCGGTGATTGATCTTGCATAATTATTGATAATGATGGAAGATGATTATCAGACAGTGATTGATCTTGCATAATCATTGATAATGATGGAAGATCATTCACTCCAGTCATTACCCATACTTATTAACACTGGATTGCAGTGAGGAAACAGTGGTTTACATTTCTACACCTTAAGCTAGAGACGACCAAACCCGAATAGGTAGAGTAGGTATGAATTGCACAATGGACAAAACTATTATCAAACAGTACCATAATTCATTGGCAAAACTCCTAACCATAATCGTAGACTAACCATGATCAACAACTGCTATTACAGACTTACCAACCTAAACAAAAGAAAAGGACGTGCTAGCATTAACAGTTAAATATAGGTGTATATAAGGAAATTGAGGAAAAACACAAAACTGGTTGAATCTACACAGCCAAAGCTTATATATGTATTATTTTTTTAAATTCCATGTATGCTAAACACGACATGAGATACATGCATAGTGATTTCTCAACGATAGATTAATTAATTGATTATCAAAAAAACGATACTCATGATCTCTAAGCCTAATAACCAAGCATTCTGCAGTAAAATTTACATAAAATGTAAATAAATATGCAAAGCATAATATAATGGCGTCTGCACGTTATTCAGACACGGTTTGACAGCAGACATTCTAAATGCCAGCTCACACGATGCACTCCTCCACTTTTCCCATCCTCTAATACCTAGTATCCACGTCCAAACCTGATCATTAACCGATTATAATCGATCGCCGATCGACCGAACGCGACCGACGGTCGACCGCGAGACTCCGAGCGACTCGTGACTCGCACGACCGCAAGGCAGCGCGAGGCGTTACCTGCGACCGAGTGCACGCTGCCGGGCAGACTGTCGGCGATGCCCGTGTCCAGCACGTCTCGTATCTGCAGGATCTCCGACGGCAGGCCCGGCTGCTGGAACAGGCTGCCCTCCTGCACGCCGAACTCGTACAGGTGGTTCAGCATCGACCAGATCTCCTTCGGGATGTCGTACGGCGCGTCCGCCGCCGCCGCTGCCGCGGGCGTCTCCGGCGATCCGAGGTCGACGAGCTGAGCGACGGGCACCTCGCGCAGCGGCGTCGGCATGCTGCAGAGCGCCTGCAGCGACGCGCCGAAGCAGCTCGGCACGTAGCGGCCGCCGACCGTCACGAAGATGTCCTTGCCGCCGTGCAGGTGCAGCACGAGGATGTCGTCAATGCGGTCGTCGCCGGCGTTGAGCCGCGCCGCCATCGCCGCCTTCACGTACACCTCGAGTTTCACGTCGCGCTTCTCGCCAGGCATGATGTAGTCCTTGTACGGCGAGATGGACAGCCACGGCTTGCAGTAGCCGGCGTCGTTCGGCTTGCGGATGAACTCAAACTCGACGGGCACCTGGCCCGTGTTGGCGACGATCAGGTACTGCGCGGCGGGCTCGACGAACGCGACGCGGTCAAAGTCGATCTCCATCGTGTCGAGCGTCACCTGCGGCAGGTACTCGTTCTCCAGCTTGTCCAGCTGTTTCATCAGCTCCTCGTAGACGCGCTTGAACTTGACGACGTCGACAACCTTCACGCCGACGTCGAACAGCGCGCTGACGGGCTTGTGGTCGCTGATCATCAGCGTCGGGTGGCTGCGGTAGGTGAGCTGCTTCACGTGCTGACCCTTCCACAGCACGCGGTCACACCAGGCCGGCACGCGGCACTTCTCGCTCGTGTCGTACGTGTCCGAGCCGGGATCGAACTTGTACGTCGGCCGGAACGTGATCGGTCCCTCCTCGTACGTCTTGAAAGCCCTACCCTTCTTCTTCTGTGTGTAGAGTTGGTCGTACTCCAAGAGCTTGGCGAATGCTCCTGGATGGTTGAAAAGAAACAGTCGTTTTTTTATGATATTCACGAAACGTAGTCGTAGGTTTCGTTTAATACATGCAAACTTGATTAATTTTGCACTAACAGAAAACGGTAAACAATCAGAGAAAGAGCCTAAGGCTTTTGGTCAATCGTGCACCTGAAAATGTGATGTACTGTCCTATTATAATCTGAAACATGAAACATGAACCCTTAACACAGATGCATCATCCCCAACCTATCCCACCCAGATGTAATGGGCTACCTTACGCCCTTCTCATGACCACCGCCCACCACACACAGATCTGACTGGATGCGTTAGACCCTCAACACCAACCCCACCCACTGCACCTTCGCCGCACGCCCTGCCGTACATGACACCCTTGCCGCACGCCCCGCCTGCAGAACACCAAACCTTCGTCCCACGCCCCCCCCCCACTGCCGTACACCGCACCTTTCTCCATGAGCAGCATGACCTGGTCGTAGGCGAGCTGGTCGAGCCGGTAGTTGAGGTCGCCGATCCACAGCACGACGTCGTGCTGCCAGATGGGCAGCGGCGGGTCGAAGCGCGCGAATCGCAGCCGCTCGCAGATGTCGGCGTGGTCCTGGTTGCGGCGCTCGCAGTCGTCCGTGTGCGCTGCGAGGTGCGCGTTGACGACGCACAGCGACGTGTTGTGCAGCAGGAAGCGCACGGCGACGCCGCCCTTGTTGCCCATCTTGCCCATGATGCCCGTGCCGACCGTCTCGGCAGCGACCTCGATGACGCGCTCGCGCAGCGGCTCCGCGACGTACGTCACCAGCATCATGCCGACGAGGCGGATCGTGCGCACGAGCGTGTAGGTGGCGCCGCGGTGCAGCGCGTTCGTCACCGCCTGCAGCCACTCATCTTCGCGCGGCGAGTCGTTGAAGAGGAACGCCTCCTTGCTGAGGTCGAGCTCCTGGAAGCCAACGGCGTACATGTCCGGGGGTTCGTCGTCCTGCGGAAAACAAGTGAGCGCCTGTTGTCATACGACGTCGGAACTACCGGTAAGATAAGACGAATGACAGAAGATGACCACTCCTGCCTGGATTCTGTTGTAGATATATGGCAAACTAAACCAATTTGTGCGTCGGGGTTAGAAATGAACTTTCGTTTGCCATGCAGCAAGTACGATGAAAAAGGCAGGCAGCAAATTTACTTTCATTCCAGGCAGGATCTTTAATGCTTTTACTATGGTTTATTGGGAATTCGTTGACAGTAGTGTTTGATGCCGATGTTAAGAGCAGACAGCAAACTGACACATGTAGTTGTAGGCAGCAAAACTGCTTCTTGCTGTCCTTAATTACGAACCCTATGCCTGTCTTTTACCCATTCCCACAAAATTGATGACTTCGCACGACTTCATTACCAAGCATCATTTTTTTAGAGTTCCTCTATTATGATCCTGATTGGCTAGAGCTACTTGTCAATCAATCCAGGCAGAGAGGTCAATTGAATACCACATTTGTTCATTTCATGTAACCGTGATGAGGCACACATTTAAAAGCATGTCTGTTCAGCAACCTAACCATTTTGTGCTGCCCCCTTGGGCACAAATATATCATACTCATGATGAACACATAACACCGGCTATCACATATCGTCGGCAGAAATGGTCAATGCTCTCCATTACACACGGAAGATGTTGTATTCCAAGGTTCTCCCAAGAAATTTCAAAAGGCATGTTGTATGTGGACAGATTTGGGAGGGCCCAGGAGGGGGCTGTACCTCACTTAAAAATTTGTAAAACTTTTATAATGTTCTACGAACAACTGGCTTTGAAGGCATGTCACACCAGAAGTCCTGGGGAGAAACCTGTGTTCCGATGTTCTACACTATATGAAAACACATGCCATGTTCACATTACAACTATAGGAGTGTGAACCGACATACAAGATCATGAAAGCATTTTACCACCATTCACATTACCCGGTGCAAGTGGATCTGCCATGCATGTGAGGCATATCAAGTTTATCGATGACACGTATCGGTGGAGCTAGAACATACCCCAGCTAACCAGGCTTGCAGTGCAACAGACGCCGGCTGCCCATTCACGTTCCACGTACCAGTGAACACTCGAAACGTCTGGATGTCAGTGTATTCATCCTCACGCGTCTCCATTACACGCTGCAATTAAATTTGGTACTAGGTAATTAAATCAGCATTAGCCAATTAAATTGGCTACATAAGCTAACACAATACAAGTTAACCATTTTTAGGTTGTGAATATAATAGTATTCGCTATTCAGGCGTACGTTTATATATATACAATTATTAAATAATAGACTAATTTTTAATTGTTAGTTTTACTATTGCTATTTTTTTTACTTTTCATGACGATTTAGAATTGTTTTTTGCATGCAGCTGTGAGAAAATCTGTGCTGCAATAGCTCATTTCATTTTATGCCATATGCTGTATGAGCATAAATATTTAGATATCAATAATGAGCACTGCAGAGTGGTGATAGAGATTGTCACAATGGAGCCAATTATGAAATATCATTCCAACATAACCCCAAACGCAACTCATCACTTGCACGGCAGTTCGCCAGGCTTCGCCGTCTGCGAAAACCACGAGGGCCTAAAAAATGCTAAAAATGTAATAAATCTGTGTTAGATTCATATATATTGTTACTATGCTTAAGTCATTCCCTACTATTTGGTATAGGAATTTATAACAAACAGTGCTCTTTCTCGATTTGACTTTCGTTTTCGATTCTCAGAATCTCAAAATTTGACGGGGCCGGAAAAAAAGGCCCGTGGACACCGGAAACGGGGCTGTTTACGAAGCTTGGGCCAATCGGCCCGTGGACAGGCGAAGCCTGAGTTCTCAGTGAATAGATCTAAAGCTGGAAAAAGTATATCCGAGGAATTCTCTATATATATGTAATACCTTAATAATACCATCACGACTTCCCATCATGTCGAGTGACGAATGTCGCAGCAGTGGCGTTACTTCTCTCTCCAGTTTTTGTCTAAGGTTACCTCCTGAAGCCATTGCAGGTAGCGCTGACGACTTTTTCAGGCTTGCGTCTGGCACCGAAGTTTGAAAGTTATCCTCAAAGGTGTAAAATGTGCTAGCGGAGTTGCCTGTTGCCTTCGACAAACTCACATGCGAGTGAGGCTGGTTTCCCTGAGCTTGTGACGAACCCCGTATCTCTTCACCACCATAAGGTTTCACCCAGCTGAAGTCTAAGGTTCCATCGCCATACTGCTCGTGACACGACTGAAGCACCCTGTAGAATTCTGCTACGAATGTGTTGCATTCCTGTCCTATCGACATTTCAAATGTATACGTGCAATCATGTTTGACGATTTTGAACTCCAAGTCGGCTTCGACGATACCCAACGGAGAACTTACATCACAGACGACTGCTGCATCAATTCCCACCACCGCCTTTAAGGACAGATCAGAAGCAGTGGCAACCGGCGATTTGTCTATGGCAAAGATAAACAATCCATATTCCCCTTGGTGGTGCACAAGAGCAAGAATCCGGCTAGTCTTTGCCCAGGTGGACAGCTCTGCCACTTGTACACAGACAAGACACCTGTCTGTGTTTAACAGGTTCTGCTGTACTGCCTGTGTTAGATCCATTTCCATGTTGAAAGGCTATATTATTATACTAAACAGAGGATCGAGTCTTGACATCTGTGAAAATAAAAGTTATATTGTAATAGGAATAACAACAAAAGCGATGAAATCTTACTAGTATTAGTGACACAATGAAAGCTCCAGGATATGCTAACTTCTAGCGATAGATAGGCCTAGAATGTAGCATGTTTCAATGCTGTTGGTGCAATAAACAAAATAAAAATTACGCAGTGGCTGGAGGTACGGTAGCCGTCGGTCGTTCAAGCCCCTTTTTTGCGTTAGGGTTAGGGTTAGGGTTAGGGTTAGGATTAGGGTTAGGGTTAGGTTT